GATAATAAATCTAATCATGTTATATAAGAACTAGGATTAACAACCTAGAATAGAAAATCAAATTAACACTAGATAATACTTCATTCAACACAGTTTCAAGCAGTTGCCCTCAGTTAGTTCAGAGTAGAAATCATCAATAACAGGAAGGGAAATCATATATTTAATAGTTCGTAGGCTGTGCGTGCTTGGTCACGCTCAGTGGCCAACCATAATTTACTTTCACTACGATATATCACTATATCATTAATTTCATTATTGAGCAATAATATTATTGGCATTATAACTATACTTCGGTGTTATTCCCTTCACTAGTAGACATTACTAATTTCTTTCATCTGTGGTAAATTCTAATATATATTTCATTATCAGACTACTTTTCAATAAGATACACTGAAACCTATTAAATCATTACAGTGAGTATATATGCGAAGATTAATAATGATTTATAAATTCTCGTTGCTGAGATTCAGTATTGCAAGTGATCACTCTCTGACGTCAAATGAACATCCTGAATAGATTACTTTCACATAACTTTCATAAATGTTGATATATTCAATATGTGCCTAGTAATGGGATTCAGGATACTCATTTTGTCTTATTAAGAACCAGTCACCGGTATACGCCTTCGTCTCACTGTTCATATTCACACTGATAATCTTTGAGAATGCACATGTGGTAATAGAATGATCAAGTGTAGTCCTGGATATCAACAACAGAAAAGTACTAACGTTTACTAATATTCATATACTTGTTCAACATCATTTCACTACCTTACATTATTCATTTTGAAATTACTTTTCTGTCAGCTGAACAAAAAAATTTTATAAAGAGTAAACAAAAACAATTTAGTTTAATTTTTCAAATCATTCAGTTTTCATCTTGGTGTAAACCATTAGAACTGAATAATTATTGCTTTAGTGACCTTGTGGAAGAGTATATTGATTTCCTGTACGGAATGCGTTTTTTTATTCAGAAGCTTTACAGACTGAATATATATATATATATATATATATATATATATTTAAGTATGTAGACAAGCCATTGATTAGCTGAGATTGTTATAATCTTCAGAAATTAATGTAATAATAATGACAGTAATCAGATTAGTTTATTATCTACAAACTAAAGCCAATTTGAAATTCACTTAGTGTTGTTTTGTTTGAATCTTCCCATTGATGCTTTTAGGACTGCTAATGGTCAGTCTCTAATTGACATATGTGCATACTGTGCGTATTGCCTCGATATAGCCTAAATTCACAAGCATAGTAAGCAAAGATGGATAGTGGCTAGCACCCATTTTGAGTGAATTTCGTTCACCTTAATACGAATATGAACTTAAAGAATGCACTAAATAGACTGTTCTAATTTGGATTACTCTCACCGTGATAGTCTACACTTATCCGACCGATTGAAGACAGGAAAATGCTAGAATTATTAAGATAAAGGGTTAGGTGGTTGATTAAATATTTGCACTCCATACAGATGAGTATTCTTTCAATAAAAGTAAATGAAATAAATTTTAATGCCAAATTATAATAATATTGAAACATATATGGGAAAATAGTAATACTCTAGAAATTCAAAAAAATGAAAGTTGCTTAAGACCACTGAACTTGCATTGGAGATGGCGGGTAAGCCAACTCACTTTAATCAAGCGTTAATCAATATTTATAGTCAGACAAGAGTAAATGACAGACATGTGATAAATAGGATAAGAAGTGTACACACACATACGCTCATATAGAAATATGAGCGTATACGTCATTGCAAACGATTTTGAATGACATGGCTCAAAATCGTTTGCAATGGCGAAGGTGCATCCACTCTTTGTGTTCTACCAAATTATAATCTTCTGAATTCCTCATGTCCCTATCCTTTTTCTCTTTCCAAATTTATTTCACTGTATTATACTCCTTCAATAACATCTTCAAACCCTAATCTTTTAGATTACTGCTTATACTCTTACTACTTCTACTATTATGGGATTTGAATTGACAACTTCATCTCCGTGCTAATGTGGTATGGCAACTCGAACTGATGTACGTACGTACGAAGTTTTAAGTTGTGACTGACTGACTCATATAAAAATGGTCAGGGTTAATAAGTGAATAATTAACAAGGTGAAAACATGACTCATGATGGATGGGTAAATTGGTTTGTCGAGAAGCTAGAATAAAGTATATGAGCTTAACATATCAACTGACACAACAAATGTATACATTCAGGCAGTGCCCTAACCACCATAATTAATGCGGACTCAAAATCTCAGAGACTATTTTATTATCTTTACTAAATACCCTACGTTCCTAGATCGTCCCAACATACCTAAACAATATTTCGGAGGCATCTATGATCAACTACATGTACATATAAGAATCATGTGCACAGATAAGTGTGTATTTTTGCTTAAAACGACGTTTTGGAGGGTTAGTAAAATCCTTATTCGGATGAACTTTACATGTTCTTATTTTTGGTCGTGTAAATTTATGAATAAGGTAGCATTTAAATAAGACTTATTACTTAAACCAAATTAAATATTTTCCGCTGATAATTTCCTATCGAACTGAATCAATAACATATATTTTCTTTTCCACATTACATTACGGATACCTTTTGTATCTCATTAATTCTAGTTTAATTTGGGTTCGGCTACATGAGTTGACGTGATGAACGTTTTCTAAACAATTTTCTTAGAGTCTGCTCACTACTTCTGATTTCTTGAATTAACTAGTTCTCACCAAACTAATTGATAAGAAAATCCAAACTTAGTTCGGGCACAGGCGGTTTCTTGTTTGCCATATACTTTCTAGGTTGTATGTAGTTCATATGGTGTGTCAGATGTTGCCTTTGCGAGTTCATTCTCTAAGTCAAGTCACTAACGCTTCTTATGACGATATCCGATATTCAAGTACTCTCCCACTGTGTAAAACGTTTTATATAAATTAATGATTGCACAGGGTACTGATGGTAAGCACTTCAAGCCTTCACATTCCGCTAGTACAAGACAAGGATAGGGGTGAGGATTTTCCACCTGAGCATTATTTCAGCTGGGGAGACACTGTCTAGTATGTTTGGGTTCGGTGGTATCCTCTATGTTTTCAGGAAATTTCGGATAACTTTACTTTGTCCTAATTTGAAATATCCTTCCCACTGATGTAAATCCTTGAAAAATAATGTCCTTGTCAGAAGTAGCCGCATAGCGAAACGTATCATTTCCCATGTATGCTCTAAAGCACTTAATATTTTCATCTTTAACTGATTTCGGGATAGAATCTGACCTATTACTGAAGAACAGAGGTGGTTGGGATATGTGTTACGTATTTCCAACCATCCCCTACCCCGACGAGTGATGTTTTCTTGTGCAGGAGTAGACTAGATAAGAGCTGGAAACGGCCGAACCAAAACATGGCATCAGTCTATGAAGTATTTAGTCATTTTAATAGATATTGACTACCTGGTTGAAGCCTATGTGATAATCGTGATCAGTGGTTAGAGACTTTGAATGATATGAATCAAAATCGTTTGGATAACGCGAGTGTATCCATTCTTTGTCTTTCCCAAAATTATCAAATTCTGAATTCCCCATAGCATTTTTTCGGATTGTATCTTAGATGCCTAACCCTTCCTATTACTGCCGGTACTGTTACTACCTCTACTATTCATGGATTCGGCCTGACAACTTCATCTCTGTGCTAATGGGTATGGCAACTTGAACCGATGTATATACATATACGTTCTACATTGTAACTGAATGACTGACTATGTAATGATAGTCTTCTCAACTAAATAACTCTTTGATGTTAATCAAACAGTATTTTTATGAGCTGTTTTATTGTATTGACTCTGTGACTTTAAAACCTAACCAAAGACACATGAAAAGATGGGGAACGTAATTTTTAATCCTGAACTTCTTCAGCCTCCATTCTGTTCTGAGAAGCCGTCTTTGTTAGAGACACTTTTTTTGTAAGAAACACCACGCTCCCACCTCATTACCAATAAAGTTGAAGCATGAAATCTCTAGAGAGACCTTAAATTTGAAACTTTTGTTCCTACATCTTCCCCAATGACTTACCTGAGGTAATAAAACCTTAAGAATTGTTCCAGTCGATATAGGTCGAGTGATTCAAGACAAAAAAATTAAAAGCGAGTGACACGTCACCATATATATATATATATATATATATATATATATATATATGTATATATATATATATGTTTTGTCCAAGTATGTCGTGGAGTTAATAATAAAGATTACCAACTGTGTTAAATGAAACAAATAATTATAACATAATCTAACCACTGTGTATTGTTGGTATTTCAAATATTGAAATTTGAATATTAGCTAAGTACTAAAGAGATAGATTATAGCTAGCAGTGAAATTCAGGAAGCGGTTTTCGTCTTATTTAAGACGAGTCGGCTGGATGTAGTTGCATTTCAGTGTTGGTTTTTACATCGAGACTCGAACGCGGTATATTTTGCTTCAAACATCAAGAGCTTTATCCATTCTTTCTGTAAAACTCTTAATGAAATATTTATATTGAGACAATCTGCACAAGTTGTATATATGCCAACTAAGAGTGATCAAAATCCAATCAAGAATATGAACAACAGAATAGCTCAAACCCTTACATATTAATTAGACATAATAAAAAAATGGTTTTACAAAATCTGTGCATGAATACATTGCGGAACAGCACATATACTTATACTAAGAAATTTAAGCGTTTTACGTGATGAAAACAACTTTAAGCAGATCACGATTGAACTTTAATTAATTCATGTTTAATAAAAACTAAATAATTCTATACAATCACCGAAATTCATATCGATAAGTTAACTAACACAAAGCAATTCATTCATGTATATATATATATATATATATATATATATATATATATATATATATATGGAAAAATAAGTAAACATAAATCAGGGGAGAAGAATAACTTTTTTTCATAAACAACCAAAAAATTTTTTTTAATTATCATTAAGTCGTTGATTATAACTTAGTTTCCAAGCGGAAACAATTCGATCGACAATTTTTTTTATCAGTAATAACTGGTTGATTTACATTGAATAGACCAACGCCGAGTAAAATTATTAGAAAACACAAAATGTATAAATAATGAAAACTATGATGAAATATAAAAATATCCATCAATACAGCATAAACATCGGATGTAAGTAATGATAAATTTACTAGGACAGCAGATGAACGCATTAAAACTAGTGGCATTAAAGAATATAATAGAAACATTGACAAAGCATAACCAATGAAACAACCAATAACTTTTGTTAAATCCATAGACGTAACATTAAATAGTATCATGCTGATTGAATGTTTTTCAAGTGAAACAGTATAAATTAATATTATGATTGATGCTATTAAACCAACACAACCAAGAAATTCTACGATACCATATTTTAGTACAAGATATTGTTGTAGAACATTTGATAATCCATATGAAATAGCTCCAATAATAACTAAGAAATCACCGAATATCATTTGTTCAGCAGTAAATAACTGATTGTTTACAGTGTTATTATATAATTGATTCAAATAGATTTCACTTGTAGTGTTATGATGAACAATATTCTGATTTGATGGTTGTATAAAATAATCTGTGAGTATCATACCAGTAGCACCAATTAAACATGAAATTATTCCAATATAATGATTCCATGCATAACGATATGATAAGAAAAAATAACTTGATAATACAACTGTTGGTATAGAGATACAATCTAATGATTGAATACTAGTTACACTTGTATAGGCATATGCAGTTACAATGGACCAATTAGCATGAACATCAATAAAAGCAATTAATGAATAAAAGCTGAAACGAATTAATAATGTTCGAATAAAATTTCTCTCAGAATTAGGTATAATAATAATTTGTTCATTGTCAATAATAGAATTACTATTATAATTTGTAATGGTTCTATTATCGGTATTGTAATTTAAAGTATTACTAATCGGTTCATTTCTATTGTTGGTACTATTATTAGAATGAGATAATTTCTTGTATAGATTAAAACTAAAATAAGGAACTCCATAGAAAAGAAATAATAGAAAATAATGTGGAAAATTTATAGCTAATGGTAAATTTATATTATATCTAGAAAGTACACCATTACATATTGCAGTTAAACCAATTAGTATAGATAATAACTGTCCTGATATTATTGGGATACATGTCTTTTTAAATTGGACCGGAAGAATTTGTTGAACTTGATTTGTTCCCATAATGTAAATTATAAAGTGTGTAGATTACGGATACAAAGTCGTCATTGTGATCAACAAAAAAGACCGTTGGGACTTCTTTGTAACAGACCTAGTTCCACAAAAATCAAAAATATATTATCATTATAGGGTTTTGGAGATTATTGAGCGTTAATCAGGACTATGAACTGATAAATGCTAGATCACCACTGAAAACTTGAAATCACTGGACGATCGCGCAATATCGCGGATTGATCGAAGTAAGACATTACGATTGTTGGATGCCGGCTAAGTGGTCTAGCGGTTAAGCGTTCGCGCACGATATATTTAACTCCGCCTGTAGCGCCTCCGGGGGCTACTGCCAATCCCAAATCCGGGTAAAGGAGGAGGGTTGGGCATGGGGTTAGCAACCCAATCCCGTCGAAAACTAACTCTCTAAAATACCCTAACCAGAAAAAACCATTCAAATCATTTACACTCTGCCCTGGAAGCTGGAAGATCTTCGCTTAGAAGAGTTATGACGCCTCATGGTGAAAGCCGAGTTCCTTCGGAAGTCATGAGGCCGATGCACCTTCTTACAACCAGAGCGACAATTTTTATAGGTACATGGAATGTCCGAACAATGTGTGAGACCGGAAGAGTCTTCCAAATTGCTGCAGCAATGAGAAAATACAACCTGGAGGTGCTTGGAATCAGTGAAACACATTGGACGTAGGTTGGACAACAACGACTATCTTCAGGGGAACTTATGTTATACTCCGGTCATGAAGAAGAAAATGCCCCACATACACAAGGAGTTGCATTGATGCTGTCCGAACAAGCCCAAAATGTCATTATAGGATGGGAATCTCATGGACCAAGGATCATCAAAGCCTCCTTCATAACAAAGAAAGAAGGCATTACAATGAACGTCACCCAGTGCTATGCGCCTACCAACGACTACGATGAAGACACTAAAGACCAATTCTACGATAGGCTGCAGTCGATCGTCGAGAAGTGCCCAACCAAAGACCTGACCATTCTGATGGGAGATTTCAATGCCAAGGTTGGAATGGACAACACTGGAACGACGACGTCATGGGACGAAATGGACTGGGAGAAAGGAACGAAAATGGTGAAAGATTTGTAAACCTGTGTGACTTCAATAAACTGGTCATAGGTGGCACTATATTTCCACACAAACCCATCCACAAAAGCACATGGACTTCACCGGACCACACCACACAGAACCAAACGGACCATATCTGCATCAACAAACAGTTCAGGAGGAAGATGGAGGATGTGAAAACCAGGAGAGGAGCTGATATAGCATCCGATCATCATTTGCTGGTCGCCAAGATGAAACTAAAATTCAAGAAGCACTGACAACGGTGCGGACAACATCACAAAAGTTTAATACGGCCTTTCTTCGAGATGCTGACAAACTCAACAAATTCAAGATAGCCCTCAGCAACAGGTTCCAGGCCTTTCATGATCTACTAGATGGAGAGGGAACTACCATGGAGAGCAACTGGAAAAGTATCTTGGAGGCAAACGTTTCAACATATCAGGAGGTTCTGGGCTACAAGAAGCACCATCACAAGGAATGGATCACTGTTGATATACTGGATAAGATTGAAGAAAAGAGGAATAACAAGGCGGCAATCAATACCAGCCGAACAAGAGCAGAAAAAGATAACACACAAGCCGAATACACAGAGGCAAACAAGCAAGTGAAGGGGAGCATCAGAACCGACAAACGTAAATATGTGGAAGATTTAGGGATGACAGCGGAAAAGGCTGCAAGAGAGGGAAACATGAGACAACTGTATGACACAACAAAGAAACTCACTGGAAATTACTGTAAAGCAGAACGACAAGTGAAAAGAAAGGAAGGCAAGGTAATCATCAACATTGAAGAACAACGGAACAGGTGGGTAGAAAACTTCAAGAAACTCTTGAATCGACCAGCTCCACTGAACCTACCCAACATCGAAACTGCACCCACGGACCTCTCAATCGATGTTGGCCCACCAACAATTGAAGAGATCAGCATGGCCACCAGACAAATCAAGAGCGGCAAAGCAGCGGGACCAGACAACATCCCGGCAGAGGCACTGAAAGCAGACGTAGCAGCGACTGCAGTGATACTCCACATTCTCTTCAGTAAGATTTGGGATGAAGAACAAGTACCAACAGACTAGAAAGAAGGACTTCTGATCAAGCTACCAAAGAAAGACGATCTCAGCGTGTGTGATAACTACATAGACATCGGTCTTCTCTCAATACCAGGAAAGATCTTCAACAGGGTATTGTTAAACAGGATGAAGGATTCCGTGGCGCCCAACTTCGAGATCAACAAGCTGGATTTCGTAAGGATAGATCGTGCACAGATCAAATCGCAACTCTACGTGTCATTGTGGAACAATCAATCGAATGGAATTCATCACTCTTCATCAACTTCATCGACTACGAGAAGGCATTTGATAGCGTGGACAGGACGACACTATGGAGGCTTCTTCGACACTACGGCGTGCCTCAAAAGATAGTCAATATCATACGGAACTCCTATGATGGACTAAACTGCCAAATCGTCCACGGAAGACAACTCACCGACTCGTTCGAAGTAAAGACCGGTGTTAAACAAGGTTGCTTACTCTCACCCTTTCTCTTTCTCCTGGTGATCGACTGGATCATGAAGACGTCAACGACTGGAGGAAAGCACGGGACACAGTGGACAGGCAGGATGCAACTTGACGATCTAGACTTCGCGGATGATCTGGCTCTTCTATCACAAACGCAACAACAAATGCACGAGAAAACGACCAGTGTAGCAGCAGCCTCAGCAGCAGTAGGTCTCAATATAAACAAAGGGAAAAGCAAGACTCTCCGATACAACGCAATATGCATCAATCAAATTACACTTGACGGAGAAGCTTTGGAGGATGTGGAAACCTTTACATATCTGGGAAGCATCATTGATGAACACGGTGGGTCAGATGCAGATGTGAGGGCGAGGATCGGCAAAGCAAGAGCAGCATACTTACAACTGAAAAACATCTGGAGCTCAAAACAATTGTCAACCAACACCAAGGTTAGAATTTTCAATACAAATGTCAAGACAGTTCTATTGTATGGAGCGGAGACGTGGAGAACTATGAAAGCCATTATCCAGAAGATACAAGTGTTTATTAACAGTTGTCTAAGCAGGATACTTCGAATCTGTTGGTCAGACACTATCAGCAACAAGTTACTGTGGGAGACAACAAACCAGATTCCAGCGAAGGAAGAAATCAGGAGGAAGCGCTGGAAGTGGATTGGGCACACTTTGAGGAAATCACCCAACTGCGTCACAAGACAAGCCCTCACGTGGAATCCTGAAGGTCAAAGGGGAAGAGGAACACATTATACCGAGAAATGAGGACAGACATGAGAAGAATGAACAAAAGTTGGATACAACTAGAAAGGGAGACCCAGGACAGAGTGGGTTGGAGAATGCTGGTCGGTGGCCTATGCTCCATCAGGAATAACAGGCTTAAGTAAGTAAGTAATGATAATTTAGGTCCTGATTTCGAATAACTTGTGAGAGATAGAGGGTGCGCACTGTTGAGGATTTCTAGGTTCACAATGCTGGTCTAACATTCATCGGTTCATGATCCTAATTTTTAAAAGAATCTATAAAGAAAGCCACAAAGTAGAACATGGTAAAAATATAAACCAGTTCAACTAACTACTGTTACAATCTATGCTACAAAAAATTGAAGAGCAAATAAATATTTTCTGAAGTTTAATTTTTACTTCGTAATGGAATTCAGTGGTTTTTCATGAAATAAGAAGGGTTACTATGATCGGGAATTGTCGTGGTATTTAATGCAGACATGATAAATGAACCTAGATGTATATTCATTTTGGAATACAATATATGACTGAGCATATGACTGCCAAGTGCGTAAATTCAATTCTATTGCTTAACTTGTGATCAGTTTTGTGATTAATTTGAGTGCCTTATATATGTACTTTCGTAAGATTAGTTTGTCTGTTTACTTGTCTGTCTATCTATTCGTTATTCATATTCACCATATTGATGAATAGATTCTAGAAACACTGACTAATTGACACTTTGAACAGTTTATATTCATTTCAACACAATAAAGATTAGATTAGTCTAATGCAGTCCTGAATTTTCAGTGTTACTTATATTCCAATAAAATTACTGGTACCAGTGCCAGTGTCAATATAAATCCGATTTAATTACAAAGAGGTCTAATTCTGGAGTTATTCCATTACTATTACTATTTCAGTTCAGTTGTGGCATCTTTGTACACTGATGTCGACAAAAGACCAACTCCAAGAAGATTGAGTTTATACAGCTTTGGAAAATAAATTAATAAACCTGTTAGAGCTGATGGGGGTATTATTAGTAAGGTGAAAAAAGCCATACGCTCGGGGTCACTTACGCAAATAATCTGTTACACACAATAGTGGGGCGTGTGAAATAAATAGTTGCACAATCAAGTCAAGGAGTGGTTTAGTAACCATATTGACTGTATACCGCGGACCTAGTTGCCTATAACATATCTTGTTAGCTGAATCAGACTCAACCCAACACTATTTAAATTGCTTTGGTGAGAATTAATGGAGTTATATTAATGTTAAAACTTGGCGTAAACAAACAAATCAGATACCAGAGTGATGGAGGCTAACAGTGGATGACCACTGGGAGATAGTAAAAGACATCATTCCGAATACCATCCAAGACAATCTGCCTCAGGGTAAGTACACATGCGAAAAATGAAGATCCTGGTTTAGGCGACGCACGGAACCCTTGCTACGGGTCAAACGGAGAGCCTGGCACAAGTGAAACGTCCCCCCTGAGGGAATCTGGTCGTAGCTCTCACCTGACATTCAAGAACAGATGCAACATCAAAGTCTGAAGCGATAAGAGACGTGTTCAGACCAGGCTAGCAGCTAAAACGCAAGCTAACCCTAAATACCTCTGCAGATTCATGGTCAAAGGATCTGCTCTTTTAAAGGGTCAAATGGCAATGATCATACTAACTTGGAGATGGCGGAGATTTTTAATACCAACTTTGTAGACTAAACCAGGATCCTGTGAGCGCAGGACACCTCTCAACTCAAGTGCCAGTTAAGGGTCTGGGATACATCCGACGAACTTTCGGGCTAGTATTAAAGAGCCTACAATCCCTGCGCCCAAGAATGTCGTCAGGTTGCAACAACATCCGACTAATAATCCTGAAACAGTACGCATAAGCCATCCGCACATTTGTATTTTATTTGTTCAGATACTCAATAGATTCACACTAACTACAAAAAGAAAGGAAGCGAGACACTCTCCAATCATTAAAGGGAGGGATAGGAAAGTGTCTATCTTTTTCCAAACTAGTCGCATTGTACCAATACTGTCGAAGGTAGTGGAAGGACTGATCGATGAACACACATAAAAAACAGTACCCCCTATGAAGCCCAAAATAGGTTTAGGAAAGACAGGTCATGAGCGCCCAATTTTCCCATAACATGGGAAACTTGAACGAGCTGCTGAGACCATAAGATACCGGTTTATGTAATATTCCTTGACTTCGCAAAAGCCATAGACACAGTATCTCATGTACTTCCCATAGCAAAGGTTGAAAAGATAAATTTGACTGACCTACTCTTATCCTAACCCCACAACTACATAGAGAACAGGACTTCTCGTACCGAGGTAAATACAATTGGGAGACCCCAACACCAGAAATTTCACAAGGAACAGTCCTAGGTTCACTCCGGCTGTTAATCTTTATTGACGATCTATTAGATGAAATTAGCTCAGTGGCACTGATTCATGCAGACGACGCAAAGATCTGGAGGTCCATAATGAGCGAAAAGGATTTACTTGAGCATCAAAACGACTTAACAACCATGAAGGAATGGGCACTAGACAATGGGTTTAATGTAACCTGTAGAAACGTTGTATCATGAACATTCTGCCTTATTTGACACAAAGCACTCACACCTTCCACGGAAACCCTCTTCTGATAGTCCCCTAAGAGCGTGATCTCAGGGTTTTAACCACACAGAGCCTAAACAACAGTTCGAATTACACAGATGATGCGTTGAACGCAAACGCAACCTTCTACTTTATGCGAAGATAGATTGGTTCAATCACTACAGAGTTGTTCTTAACACTGTTTAAAACGTACCTAAAGCCCCACCTTGGAGTCCACAATGTTGTTGTACATCTTCCCAAAAAGAGACATAAATCCCTTACGCCAAGCAAAGTAGTTGGTGGGTCTAAAGCATAAATCTCACGAGGACAGACCCCAGCACCTGGAATTGTTCTCGCTGAGCTACGGAACAATAAGAAGTGATCTGAGAATGACATATGACATACTAAGTACGCCAAGTCACCCAAAGAGCATCATCACTACGTTCTTCCATATAACCATAGAAAGATTGCACATCAAATAGCAAACACCCAGGTACGCTCTCATTTTTCTTATTAAGAGTTGCACCCATATGGTATGCTTCCCCAGCCGAAATGACCACAGTCCTCTCAAGCGCTGAGAAAAACACTGTTTTCGAATATGTGTTTGAATTCAAGGAACAACGCAATCTACCAAAGCTAGCACGTTTTATTCTATTCGTCCAAGGAGCATGGATCTCTACTTAGAAAAATTTGGTTGAGAGTAAAAACTGAGTAGCAACTAAAATATAGATTTTTCTATTGACAAGAGATCCACTGATCCTAGAAGAACCTTTAAATTTGTACGTCATATAGTACATATGCATAAGCTCTTGGAGTTAAAAACAAATTCTTGAACTAAAATATTTCTGTGCCGTTAAGACAAAAGCAAATCTCAACGAAAATATAAATTTCTACATAAATTGCTAACATTGTAAAACACTATTGACTCAAAAGTAATAACTCGCCAAAATTTACAAAATACAATGATTTTGAGTGAAAATTGATACCAGTTTCAAACCTTCTTCAAGAACCGTTCAATACCCAATAACTTAAAATTTCAAGAGGTTGACATAGTCGAGTGGAATAAAAGGGACTTTTATTTGCAAAGCTCCCACGACGATAGTACATTTTTCGTCGATTTCTATAGTTCGAAACTTTGATATATTCTTTTTTAATCATGAGGATGGGTCAATCGACTCATATTAATCCTTGTGGTTTATTGCTAGGAAGATCAAATTTTGTCTTGAGTTTATCGGTAGAAAGTGATGATATTGAGTGTTCCAGTAATTTGCCACTCAGTGAGAGAAACGGAACCCCAGATGTAAACGATTGTATCTCAATTTTCGAACTTCCTTGGAATGTCCTCTCAAGTGATTGGTACCAGATGGAAGGAAAAGATAAAACGTTATCGCCAAAATCACCGTTCACTATAGGGTGAGCTACTGTTAAATCAACTAATAGCATGAGATAAGATAATTACGTCAAGCCTCCTAGTTTGTCTTCGTCAGACAGGTCAGAGCAACCATTCACCATTTTGATCCCTTACCGTAGAACTCGTTCTTGTTTATCCGCCTAATAACTGAAACAGCGACCCACTGCTTGAATACCGTATTCCAAACGCGATCTCACAAAAGTCGAATATAATACCCTATACGTTTCTTCGTCCAAGAAATGAAATGAATCACGGATAGACCATGAAACCCTGAAGCCTCTGGTGGTCAACCTTATAGTTACTTGTAATCCTGAGATCTCTGATTATATTATGACTGTTACATCTTTATAGTCCATTACTTAAAGCAATACAATTTCACTTATTGTGTCACAGTCATTTATTTACATCACTGCACTGCTGCTAAAATTGACTTCCAATCACCACATACACATCCATTACATCAGTGAATTGGGGTCGTCCTCTAGTACCATACCATTTGTTATACAGTGTATGGGTCTCTAAACCTTGATGTTATCGGAAAAGTGTAGAACGGATGAATTTGCGACGGTTGTTAAGTCATTTGCACAAAGTTAAAAAGGAGGGCCAAGAAGTGTATCTCGTGGAGTTCTAATTTCTACATATTTTCATGTTAGTAACGCCTCGTTTATCCGAAAACGTTGTCTAGTCTATGATTCCATGATGGATCCCGAAACCTTCCAGTTTAAATACAAGACCCGGATCGAGACCCCGTCACACGCTTTACTTAGATCTATGGCACCTACATATATCTGGGTTCTGTCATCTTTCGCTGTAGTTAAATCTTCAATAGTAATGAGATATTTGAAGCGTGAAAGTCCTTTCGTCAAACCGTGTTCTCCCCTAGCTAACTCGTCAATTCCTTCTACACGGTTTACAATGGCCATCCGAATAATCTTTTCCAATAATTTGACAACTACACTGATCAGGATAATGAGTCGGTAGTTACTAAATAAGTCTCTGCTTCCGTCTTATACACCAGACTGATTATCGCGACTTTCCAGTCTTTGGACTAATTAAATTGCCACAAAACATTTTAAGCAGTTTGTTCATAGATCCAGAGATTACATTCAACAGCGCTTTTATAATCCTAGGATAAATATTTTCAGGAAAACTGGACCTATCTGGTTCGAAATATTAAAGTAATCTTAAGATAGTTCCGTTCACAATAAAAACAGAATCCATTGACAAGCCACTTCAACCACAATTAATCGTTGGCCGTTCTTTATTTCTGGTAGAAAACAATTTACTAAAATATTCCGATAAAACCTAAGTGTCTTCGGCATCATCTTTTGCCGATATTGACGGATTTTTTGGTAGCAAAGGTGGTGGGATGCCATTACTTCTCTGAGTTCGCATCTTTGTAAACGAGAATAGCCTTTTCAGACCATTTTCACAATCCCCAACCAGCTGTTTTCATATGACTGTCTAATCTCATTAACGCTATTTACGCATTCCTAGAATCACAGTCACTGTATCTATACTGTTCTAAGCCTGTAATGGTTAACATTGATGATGCAACGGATATTCTAGTTTTACAACTAGATACCAGTAGCACCTTCTAAATTCGGTTGTTACCAGTCAGATAGAAATCAGAAGTCGGACGAGAATAGGCAGGAAAGATATATTTGATTCGTTACCAATATATCGAGGACCTTTTCTATGAGCTGGCTAATGAAACGTAGGAGCTGTGTCCCACGCAGTATTGAAACGTGATCTGGTGCGGATGCATGACCGAAAGCCTTCAGCTAAACAAGTCCACTTAAACAACGTGGTCAGCATCCAATGTCGAACACTTAATGAGCTATTGATTTTGGGGAATTATTTACAGCTACAGATCACTCCCCCCTAGTGAGGTAGTGATGCCCCTAAGACGTGACCAGCCAGAAGTTTAAACCCAACGAATTTGTCGTTGGTAAACACTCTTCTGATAGCTTGCTTCGTTTAGCAGCGTCTGGTCGTCTTTCCTTAAACTATGGGACCAAAATGTACAACGTAGCAATAAAGAAATATAGTACAATGAAAATTTCTGTTCCTTGCGAAACTTCGTCGTTCTTTTCCAGCCGTCCTGGAAAAGAGGAAAAATAAAACGTGTGAGTGCATGTCAAAAATACACTCGTACTTCCGTAAGGACACAAGATGAGCGGAAAAAAATAAACTGATACACTTACAAACAGCGTAAAAGCGATCGGAAAAAAGGTTTTCTTTTGGGTTTTTTTTCAATATATAAATATATATATATACGCTCAAAAAAATGTTGTTTTCTTTTTGTTTTTTTTTTACATAAAAAAAAAAATGAGCATATTAAAAAAAATTTATAATAAACTTTGAAAGGGTAATTCAAGATAAAGCTTATGTCCTACGTGCAATATTCGTTAAGATGTTCTGGAAATCTTACTCGTCTTCCAGAACGCGTTGTTTTAGGTTTTTCTATCGACGTTGACGAAGTATCAAGTTGTGTGTCGGTTGTCGTGTAGGGTACTACGAGTGTAGTAGCTGTGTCGTTTGCTTGTACCGAAGGAAAATCGACGTAGCTAGGGTTTCCTTCTAGGTACGCAGCTTTGAGTCGATCGATACTGATGCTATCTTTCGTACCGTTCTTGTCGACTACATAGTACTTAGGTTCGCGTTGAAGAACTTTGAAGGGTCCTTCGTATGCTGATTCGAGGGGTCGTCGATGTGAGTCTCGACGAACGAAGACGTGTGTACTATGTCGTAGTTCGGGTTGAACGAAAACATCAGTTGATTGAGGTCGAGTGTGAGCAGGTTTAACTGAACGCATAGCGTTTGTAAGCCTACTCGTGTAAGAGTTTAGATCCATGTTCAATGAAGAAGCTGAAGGATCCACGAATTCTCCTGGGAGTCGGAGTGTCGTTCCGTAAACGAGTTGAGATGCCGTGTATCCAATGTCAGCTTTCACTGCATTGCGGATACCTAGCAAGACGAGTGGAAGAGCGTCTGTCCACTGTGAAACGTTTGAAGCTGATAATGAAGCTTTTAATTGTCGATGAAAACGTTCTACCAACCCGTTTGCTTGTGGGTGGTAGGCGGTCGTTCGGAAGCGCGTGATTCCTAAAAGTGTGGTCAGACAACGGAAAAGTTCAGATTCGAACTGGCGTCCGCGGTCTGTAGTGATGGTTGAAGGGCAGCCGAAATTTGCTACCCATCGTTCGACGAAAGTGCGAGCCACTGTTTCAGCAGTAATGTCCTTAATCGGTACTGCTTCTGGCCATCGAGTAAAACGGTCTACGCATGTTAGGAGATATGAGTATCCGTTCGAGTCGGGTAAGGGTCCTACCAAATCTAGATGGACGTGGTCGAATCGAGCGTCAGGGGTTTTGAAAGAACCTAAGGGACATTTGTTGTGTCTGATTACCTTAGATTTCTGACAGCTTACACAGGAGCGTGACCACTCCCTCACGTCTTTATTCATGCCAGGCCAACAAAAGCGTTCGGCTATAAGTTCGATTGTTGCACGAGCACCTGGATGAGAAAGATTGTGCAACGTATTGAAGACGTTGCGGCGATAGTGTTTTGGTACGATTGGACGATCCCTACCTGTAGATGTGTCACAGAGTAAGGTTTCCTTACCTGTTCCCATCTGCCTAATACTTAGTTTAAGAGTTGTCGAGGATAACTCATGCTGAAGATCAATGTCTTCTTTTTGAAGCTGAGCGAGTTTAAGAAGGTCGATTCCTTGGAAACTGTTCAAGGAGCTAATTCGAGACAAGGCGTCTGCGACTACATTGTTTGCTCCAGAAATATGTTGTATGTCTGAAGTAAACTGCGAAATGTAGTCGAGTTGTCGAGACTCTCGCGGTGAGTACTTGTCTGAAGATGAATTTAAAGAGAAGGTAAGAGGTTTGTGATCGGTAAAAAGCGTGAATTCTCTTCCTTCGATGGAATGTTGAAAATGCCGTACAGCACAATACATAGCTAGGAGTTCCCTACCGAACGTGCTGTACCTAGATTCAGCGTCTAGCAACCGTCTCGAGAAAAATCCTAAAGGTTGCCACGAGTTGTTAACCCATTGTTGTAAGACTGCTCCGATTGCTGAGTCGGATGCGTCTACGGCGATACTAATGGGCGCTTGACTGTCCTGATGAGCAAGCAAGGTTGCTTTAGCGATGTGTTCCTTAACTGTGGAAAATGCTTTACGGGCTGTGTCGTCTAAACTAATTGATTTCGCATTTCCACGAAGCTGATCGGTCAACGGTTTCATTAGGGATGCGCATTTAGGTATGAACCGTCTATAGAAACTTACGAGTCCGTTAAAAGTTCGTAACTGCTTGATCGTGGTCGGTTCTGGGTAATCCAGAATGGCCGCCACTTTGCTCCTAAGGGGTCGGATGCCTTGGGCATCAATGGTGTGTCCTAAGAAGTCTAAGCAGTTAGTTCCGATTTGGCATTTCTGAATGTTGACAGTAATGCCATGCCTTTGAAGTCGATCGAAAACAATGTCCAGATGCTTGAGATGCGATTCTCTGTCCGGACTTGCTATTAGACAGTCATCAACATACGCATGTACGAAGTTGAGACCTCGGAAGACGTCGTCTATAAACCTTTGGAAGGTTTGAGCCGCATTTCTTAAACCAAAAGGCATTCGTAGAAATTCGTAAAGACCGAAGGGAGTGATGATGGCGGTTTTAGGAATGTCGTCAGGTGCCATCGGGATTTGGTTATAAGCTTTAACCAAGTCGATTTTCGAAAAGACAGTTGTACCCTTCAAGGTAGCTGTCAAATCGTGAATATGAGGCAGCGGGTAACGATCGGGAATGGTTTTAGCATTCAGACGCCGATAATCACCAGTTGGCCGCCAATCATTGCTGTCCTTTTTAGGG